GGGGGAGTTAATATGATGTGGAGAGGATAGGAGCTCCACAAGGACCAAATATATCTAGGCACAGGGGTCTTATATGAGACTGTTTATCCAACCAAGGACCATGTATGGATATAACCTAGAACCTCTGCTTGGATGTAGGCCGTGGTAGCTCAGTAACCAAGTGGGTTTCCCTAGTAAGGGGAACAGGGACTATTTCTGACATGAATGCATTAGCAGGCTCTTTGACATCCCCACCCCCCAAGGGAGGAGCAGTCCTGTTAGGCCACAGAGGAGGACTTTGCAGCCAGTCCTGAAGATACCTGATAAAACAGGATCAGATGAAAGGGGAGAAGGTCCTCCCCAATCAGTGGACTTGGAAAGGGGCAGGGAGGAGATAAAGGAGGAAGGGTGGGGTGGGGAGGGAATGAGGGAGTGGGATACAGCTGGGATACAGAGTTAATAAAATGTAACTAATAATAAAAAAGGAACAAATACACTATTTGAGATTTAAATATTTTTTAAAAAGTCTCATAAATAATTTTCAGGTAAGTATACCACTGGTGGTGAGAGACAGTGAGCCTCGTTCTCCAGGTCCTTTCCTCCGGGGTGACTTCACATTTGAGTCCCCTTTTGTAGTTGACTTTGATGAGTCTCAATATCAAAGTGCAACTTGAACAACATGATCGACTTGGCTGGACTCTTAGGAGAGCCCTGTGCATCGCCTGAAGACCCAGCCCAGCAGCCCTTGGGAGGGTTTGTTCTGCCCATGAATGGGCCCCTTCTTTTGTCAGGAGAGGAAGAAAGGGGCTTTGAGTCCCCACTGAACAATAGATAACTACAGAATTGTGCTCAACTGTTATTTTTTTTTAAGGCATAAAAGGCCTATTGGAGTTCTCATTTTGGCAGAAGACAGGCTTTCAAGTTGTGCAGCTCAGTTACCAGGCCTGCCTGGGTGTCATCAGCCAAAATAGGTTTACACAGGCATCCAGCACATTCTGGGCTAAGGCTGATTTTCTTTCTGAAAAAGAAAATCTCTTCTTCACTTCACCCAACCAAATGAACCTTTCACCGGAAGATACTCCTTTGAAGTTCATGGACACCCTTCAAAGAACATGTCTACACCGCAAGATGCCACACTTTCCTGTGTGTGTGTGTGGGGGGGGGGGGGAGTCTGGGTTACAATGCAGAAAGAACCAAGAAACTTTACAACGCATGAAGTGAAATTAAAGCTGTGAGGTCTGAGAGTTTAACACATGGGAGTTAACTGTCACTGGGAGAGGTTACACATTTAAGATACCAACCTTACGCTTGGGAATTTGGATCTGCCAATCTTGCCTATAGACTGTATATGAGCAAGAGTTATAATTGCATTTTAAATAATGTTTCTCAGGCTGGTGGTGTTGCTCAGTGGTAGAACAAACACTTCCTTGTATGCAAAAAGCTCTGGGTTCAATTTCTAGCAATACACACACAATTTTAAACTATGTTCCATTTGTCAGAGGAGACAACAACGTAGAGACACTAGGTGAGTATTCATTTTTTAAGAGGAATAATGTCTTAGGAATTTAACGTCCTAGCATCTGCTTTAGTTCTCTGACTCAGTCCAGCTTGTGAGCTGGATGGATACCACAATTTGGACTTAACAGTCAAAGATTCACTCCCTGTCCCTCAAAATACAGAGTAGCAAGAGCAACTACTGTGGGAACTATATGGAAGCCTGTGGCACAAAAGAGCATTTCAGGCCAATGCCAAGTGTCAGTGCCCATGCTGCTGCTCTGGGTGTGTGAGGAGGAGAAAACAGAACTCTTGTTCTGAGACACAGAACAAGAGGGGGAATCTGTGATTTGGTCACACAGGGGCAAAACCCTGGGAATCCTGCTTAGCCCTGTGGCTAGGATGACCTGTGCTCTGCCTCAAGGTGAGTCAAGTTGGTACAGGTCTCAGCTGTAGCTGAATCCAAGGCCCACCACTGCCTGCTACAGACAGCTCCTTGCTACAAGTTCCTTGGCATCCTTGAAGATCTGTCAGAAATCCCCCAGGGTCTGCCAGTCTCAATTTCAACAACTTTAATACAAATGAAATAGACTTTAGATAAATCAATACTGAACAATAAAATGATTTATGATGAAGAAAACCTAGACCTTTAATTTGGGTTATAATGAACAAACTTTTAAAGAGCTAGGTAAAAAACCACTTGAATGGCAAAGATTTAAGTAAAGTTTCCTCTTCCTACCATATCTACTGAGATAAACTCAGTAGGCCACTTTGTTTTTAAAAGGAAAGCACATACGCAGGAAAAGATTGAATGCATTACCACTTGTTAACAGAGGATTTCACTAAATCAACAGCCATAGTTCTGCAGAAACCAGAAGATAATATGAGACTCTAGAGAGGGCCTCAACCCAACGCTAGGGAGGAGTCTCAGGAGTTATTAATTCAGCCCAGAGGACAGCAACCTACCTCTGCATAAACCCTGCATAGAGTTGCAGTTGTCAAACATCTGAAGAAAGAGCTTTTCTCAAAGCGTGCTCACCTAGAATCACATCTGCACAAGCAACTGTTCTGGGTACCTGTGCAGACATGAGGTGGCAACTGAGCTAAGTTTCCCAGTTACTGCGGATGCTGCTGAAGATCAGAGCCAGGCTTTGGCAGTATGAACTGCTGCAGCGCCAACACTTGCAGAGTCTACAGACAGTCCTTAAACGTGTCGAGTATTTGTACACGCGCTTCCGTGTACACGTGCGCCGCCAGCGTTGTTGAACACTTTACCCAAAGCGAAGAAAGCCTCACAGACAGGAAGGCAGGCTCATGCTGAGACCAAGCCCAGACTGAAAACAGACACTGACGGAGGGAAAACTAACCCTTGCTGAGTAATCTGAGTCTCTCAGCTGTTGTACCCAAGGACAGTGGGGACAATGACCAGACGCTGCCAGGGAGGAGGGTGAGAGTCCAGGTTAGAGTTGGTTAAGGTTTGTGCCCATGAACTTGGACTAAAAAGATCCTAATCCCACATGGCTGCCACGAGCATAGAGTGCCTTCCCTTCTATCTCCGGTGATCTGCTTCCCATCACATATTTTAACCTGTAAGCTGTTTTCTTTTCAATTTTTTTTCATTGCTAAAGATAGCACTACCCAAGGCCAGATGCTGAGAACCACAGAACATGTTATGTCAAGTTATCACCTCAGAAACTCAGCAGAAATATTAGAAATTCCCATCACTAACATCCCGAATAGCATGCTACACTGGAAACTTCTGAGAACAAACACATCGTCCGAGATCAGGGGCCTGTGTGATACCAGCCTTCTTGCCGGGGCAGGGGCACCATATAGTAAGAACAGCAAGAGCTGTAATTCCCAGCCGCAATCCTCTCTATAGCTAGAGTCCATTCATGTGGAGGAGTCCTTGTGACCTAGGCCCTTCCCCTATGACCCACCATTAAAATAACACAAAAATAACCACTGTTATTTTGGGGATTACAGTTCTGACATGCAGGTTTTCTTTTAGCTTTTCATTTAATTGTGTCAAATGTTTTTCATACAAGTATACCTTGTACACTGAACATATTTCCTGCTGTACCCTCACCCTCTTTCTGTTTCTCCCCTTTGTTGTCACAGATGCTTTCACTTCTACTTCCACTTTATATATGCATACATGCCTTTAAGTAACTACGTAAGATCTAGGGACCACAGATGAGTGAAAACATATGACATCTGTCCTTCTGAAACTGGCTTACTTCATGTAATATGATTATTTCCAGTTGTACCCATCTTCTAGCGAACAATGTAATGTCATGCTCTTTTAGCCACTGTCATCTGACTCATGGATTTCGACAAACACTTTCCAAAGCAGAGCAAAAGATAGTCGGACTGATCAGAGAGAACTCTGGGCCAAACAGCACATGACCTTGCTTACTTTTTTTATCCTTGGTCCGATCTTACAGCAACTACAATTAGAAAGCAACCCTCCTTCTTTTCTCCCAGTGTATAGAAAGCATAGCAAGCAAAAGCTGCTTACTGTGTCCCAACATGTAGCCAAGACTAGACCCCTCCAACCCCAGGCATGTGCAAGGGGCCACTTGAGGGCCTCAAGAACGAGGCCAGATCCCCTTGTCTGACTGTGTTCTCATCAGTAGTTTCCTGACTACCCAGCTTCCCAACAGAGTCAGTCTCTAAAGGAGAGCTAACTTGGAGACAGTCTCAGGCCAAGTGGCTCATGGTGACAGCAGGCATAAATCATGCTGATGGGATGAAAATGGCACAAACCCTTCTTCAATGTCACCTCCATTACAAGTCATGTATTCCCACCATCCTTTCTTAAGTAACACAAATATATATGGCCAAATCCATTCTTTTAAAAAAAATCAGTTCCAACAAACATTAGCTTCACTGGAATATTAATCATTAAACTTTCTCCATCTTTTTTATGTCTCATATGTACAATGGATGAAGTAAATTGTGCCCTTTCATCACTGCTCTAATTTGTCCTTCTTCCATTTGGAAACAGTCACCTCCCTGCAGTGCAGATGATGGTCAAGAAGCTGATGTAGCCCTAGTGGGACAGAAGCCAAATGGCTGATCAGTATCCGAAGCTTTTATTTCTCCTTTTCTTTTCCACCTTTCTCCAGCCCTCTGAACTGTCAGCATGTCCAGCCCTTCTGGAACATTCCAACAGAGTTCTATAACTCACTGCTGCCCCCACCGTTTCTCTGCAACAACTGTCATTCACACTCCAAAACCGAAAGGAAACAGAAAGGCCCCTCCTCCTCATGGCTGCATCCTCACACAAGTGAGCCACAAACCACTGCCCAGCTACTCAGGGAAATACATGTATTCCTGCAGTAATTTCCCCATTTTGTCCCCTCCTTCAGCTTCACTTTCCACAGTCTTGCAGATCCTTATAGGGACTCAGGTCCCCGTTGCTAAGATGTAAAATCAGTGACACACCTCCGCAGCTCAAGTCACCTACCCTCCCCACCACCCTACCATCCATGCGCCACATCGTTGATGGAAAAATTCCCTACCTTTCACTGAGGCTTCTCCACAGCTGTGCACCTGCAACAGGAAGTAAAATGTAAAACATAAGCAAGCTGTCACTCTCCGGGGGCATTTGCCAGCCTATCAACATCCCAAGCTTCTCCAGCATTTACATCTCTTAAATGCTAGACTATATCAACACTACGATGGATGCAGCCAACAGTCTACAAAACACTTGAGTATCATAAAGGTAGGACACTCTAGGACCCAGTACCTGCCTCATGTGCATTTCAGAAAAAGTGCTGTCCAAGAATCAGTTTAAGACTTGACAAGAGATACAAACCATCATACTTCAGAAAGGACAGACAAGTAGGACAAAGGAAGTGGTAATGAAAGGGAGATAGATATGGTGCAGTCTTCAGATAGTTTAACCTTCCATCTAAGCTCCAATGAGACCAACAGAAAAAAAATTACTTGATGATGATGAGGAAGATAGATTATAGGTAGGTAGGTAGATAGACAGATAGATGATAATTAATAGATAGCTAGACAGACAGACAGACAGATCTACTTATCAAAACTCCAGGGACTGTCTTTATTGGACCAAGTATTGAAAGTACATACCAGCTACCAGACTTAAAAGAGCTCAGTAAGAAACAACCAGGAGACATTTTCTGCACTTTGCAATGAACCAAAGATCAAAGGTATTGCCTTTGTGTGATCTTCAATATCCACTATTGGTTGAACATCCCCCGTCAAATTCCTCTTAACACTCACTGCTAGGAAAAAGTTGCTCAAAATTCTTAAGCTTCTAATTCTTTGAACAACTGAATTATGCAATTAATCTGGTTTCCTTCATTGCTGTGGTTGCTTAAGCAAAGGGATGAACCCTTCCTCAAGCATGTTGTGGTACGAGACTGCTCCTCCTAGGCCTCAGAAACAATTGTGTTTTCTGTACCTGACTCAAGCCTTCTTGAGTGGAGCAGCATGTAAAATGAAGTTAACTTAATGCAGGGGGCTGTGAGCAATACTGTAGACTTACCTAGATTTAGAGATATGGACAGAAAACACACTGGCTTGCCCTCACCTCATACTAGCCTAATGTGTGTCTTCACAGTTTCTCCAACGACTCTGGAGTCTTCAGTGGAGAAAAGAGAGGCTGGCGTGAGATGCTTGTCTTATTGTTAAGAAGTGGAGAAAGTATTATGGTTGAAGGACAAGAGAACTGGGCAACTCCGAAATTGCTACCACCACCGAACAGAGATCCGATGATGCTTGTATAGAGGGGGGAAGTTCTGATCAAGATGGGTTCCAAGCACAGCACAATTAGCAAAGGGCTACAGAGGGAACGAGTAAACTGTCAGCTGATTCCACAGGGACAGAGACCTAGTGGGTGAGCACAGTGTACCGAGGACTGGGGCTTTGCACATGGAGGCTTGACAGCTTCCTTGGGAGGGCTAAGTGTGGGCAAGTGGCTAACGCACAGGCTACTGATTCCAGGCCTGAGATAAACCAAGTCAGAATAACAGTAAAGGGAGAGTGTGCGAGGGACTAGAGACCACAGGCCCAACCTCAACTAGGTCTAATCTCAGTGAGCAAGAGACTGCTGAGCTGTGGCATAAATAGATAGCGTGGATTCACAGGTGGAAAGACAGAAAGACCCAGAGCTTCCAGGACTACCCTCTGCCACACGGCTGTGGGGGTGCAGTTGGGGACACCTACTGGGCCCTCTTTCCTCACAGGTACTGCGTGAAGACCTTAGAGCCTGAGGTGGAGATGGCTGACTCTAGTTAGCATGGGGGTAGAGGAGAAGGGGTTCACAGCTCAGTTTGAGGATGTAGGGGGAGTTTTACATGCTACAAAAGACAGCCTCAGAGCCTGCGGGTGAGCAGCAGTTCAGGGGTGCACAGCGTAATCAGTAATCTGGGGTGCACACTTCTGACGTCTACATTGGGAGTCTGCTGCAGCTGGCGGTCGCAATGACTCACTAACCGAAGGTCTGGGGACCTGCAGGTTTCACAGAGAAAAGCTAATTCGCATGGTTGGAGCCCTGCTTCCCTTTTCTCCATTTGTTTCCGTGAAGTACTGAGAGTGTATCAGAGAGGATGATGGGAAGTAGAAAGGAGAAGCGGGGAGGGCTTTGCTTGCTTCTCAGTGGGTACAGAGTTCCTGTCTCCTAAGATTAAAAAAAAAGAAAAAAAAAAAAAAAACACTTCATGATCAGCTATTCAGTAATGTGCACAGAGCTACTTCCTAGGGATGTTCAACTTAAAATGTGGGAAGCGTACTGAAAAAAAAAACAAAAACAAAAACAAAAACAAAAACACTTGGAGAGGATATACAACTAAGCTCATAACCAGCAAAGTTCATGCATTTAGCCAAGGATGTGGAAAGCAGGCAGCTGAGAGGGGGGGAAAGAGGCACAAGGTCCCAGACAGCTCTGCTGAGCTGAGCGAGGCTTCCCTAGCTGCTATGGCAGCATGCGTGGGGGGTGTCTGAGAGTGACTGATGGTTCTGATGAGAGCCATAGCGATGTCACAGCTGCTTCTTGATAGAGTTTGCAACGAAGTCTACATCTCCCTTAGAGCAGCCTACTGCAGCCAGTACTGTGTGGGGCTGGAAACCCTGCCGCCATCTCCAGCCAGCTATTCATGGAGCTCAATTGGGTCTTTGTCCTGAAAGACTCAGTAAGGGAGGACAAAGAAACCCTAAGGTTTCTCCAGCCAATGACTGAGGAAAGCAGCAGAAGGAAGCCCATCTCTTTCTTTTCTTTTCTTTTTTAATCTTTTTTCATGCAAAGAAATGCTGTGTTCAGAACAATATCATTCAGTGAAAAGCCTAAGAGAAAGATAGGCCTTTTGCAGTGGCCTGGGGAAGGGGCAGGGGTGATGGCAAAGGCCAGTATCTCTGCATCCCCCTCAGAAGCTTGTGTTTATAACTAGCTTTGGCACAAAAAGACACAGCACAGCCTGACCAATGAGAAGACAGAGAACCCAGATGCCCTGACTGTGCCAGCTGAAAGGGGAGACTGCCAGTTTATGGACTGTCACTCACTGGGGCCCTTCACCCGAACCAAATTCCATTTCGTGGTTTAAGAATCGGTTCTCTTCTGTTTCAGGATGACGTGTTCATCACTAGAGCAGGCAGAGCATCTGTGAATGCTGCTTCATAGAGAAAAGGGAACTTGGCAGGTGCCATCAGGTGAAGAATGAAGAAGATCACCCTAGGTCATCCAGGTGGGCACCAATTACAATCACAAGCATTCTTTGCAGAGAGCTGGGGGGGGGGGGTTGAATTCAGGAGGTCCAAGAGAAGCTGTTGTGACCACAGAAGCAGGGCTGTGATGATGCAGCTACAAGCCAGAGGGCAACAGCACCAACTGACATCAGGAAGAACCAGGGATGGGCCCTTCACCAGAGCCTCCAGGATGAAGACAGACCTGCTGGTGTGCCATCTGAGCTGATGGCTTCCACAGCTATGAGAAAAGTGTTGTCTGTTGTTTTGAGACACCAAGTGTGTGGTAATCCATTACAGCCACAGGAAACCATCTATCAATCCAGCTTCTCCATAGCTAGGAAAGGACCTTAAGCTAGCTTGAGAATTATTCTTTTTCACCTCATGTCACTTTTCTTTCTTTTGCACCGCTAGTGACCGGACCTAAGGCCTAGTGTGTGTTGGTGAGCACTGCACTGCTGAGCTAGATCCCCTTTTTATTTTAAGACAGAATCTCAATGAGCAATCCTGCTGTGGCTTTGCACTTCCTCCTTAGCCCAGGGGCCTCAAATTCTGATCTCCTGCCACAGCCTTGGCTGAGATTACAGGCATGCTCTGTTAACCCGGAGTTGAATTAGGGACTTTAGGCTGCTGGCAGCCTTCAACTCCACCTCCTCAATGTTTTCAAGGACAATTTTGCCATGTAGAGGGATTTCAAGGACATTATTTGCAAATAAGTTCTCCACTGTGTAACTACCCAATAACTGGTTGAGCTAAAAACTGAAGACATTGATGGGTCCTGAGCATTAGAGCTTGAAGGCTTTCAAACAGCTCTGCTTCCAATCCTGGCCACACATCCAAAAGCCAAGATCTCCAGCTTTCCCTCTCCTTTTCATCTGTTCTTTTTAACCCACACCTAGGTGAGGGCCAAAGTGAACATATGATATAAAAATACTAAGGTGCTCAGCTTCCTGAGCCCCAACTTGCTTTTAGGCTGCTGAGCACATGCACGAATGTCTCTGCCTTCTTGCATTCTCCTGAGAGAAGAACCTGCTCAAAAGCACATTCAAGAACAAAGAGCCCTCCTCTTCTGGCTAAGAATCAAGGCAGACACACGGGACTTCCAGGGCCTACCCAAGTTCCCCACAGGACTTGAGGTGTGAGGTGGTGTTGGCCTCAGGAAGCCTCTGTGCAACTGGAATACAACAGCAAATGTTATTAGGGCTGGAAGTGAGGAAGTGGGCATCTATTCTTGGAAAAGTGGGTGCTAGAGGGAAGAAAAGGGGAGAGAAGGTGAAAAGGGTTTCTGTACATAAGAATATAATTTAAATCTGTGGATCCATGAAATACCAAACAAAAATTAATCTGTTTACCTTCCCAGAAAGGCTAGGCATGAAGGACTTACCTCCACACCTGAACACAGTAAAAATCATTTCTATGGTGGTTTGCTTTAAGAACTGGACAGACCTACACATAATCCAGCCTTAAAGACCAACTCACAGAACACCATGATGGTAAAAATCGCCATAACTTTCAGTCCGGAGCTCAAGTTCTTGTTTGAGAGATGGCTCCCCTCTCATAATATGTCCCCATATCTGGGCAGTTCTTATACACAGCAGTTCATGTGAACCCTAACCAAAGCCTCCCCTTTGTGATTTTGATCAAATGGCTCTTGCTACATGTACACTCATAGGGCTCATTATGTTCATGAGATATTTTTGCCCACTTACAAAACTAGCTCAAACACTAGAGGAAGAGGCATATAGATGAATGGAAAAATATAGTACATAGCTCTTAAAAAACTGAAGCAATCTTTAAAAATGATTCAAGCTCTCACTTTAAAATGTAATGTTTACAGCTGATCTTGTTTTCAACATCATTAATCAAATTCAAAGCATTTATGTAACTCTCAGTGATTTTAAAGCTCACTGCTTTCCTTCACTGAGGTGAAAGAAAACTACATAAACTAGCACATTTTCCAGATGCCCAGCGTAGGTTGTAGGGTGGAGGCAATATTTAACTGCTATTCTCATAGCAGCCTACTTAAAGAAAACCCTGGTTTGTGAAGAGCTTAAAACTAAGAAAGAGCCCAGCACACATAAACTTTTTACTCACTCTGAAATTCATTATAAGCTGGGATGTAGCTCAGTGGCACATTGTTCACCCCAGAACTAAAATTTTTATTTATACATATTTATTTATATATATGTAAATATATTTTATATAATTCTATATTTTTATTCTATATATTTCTATATATTTATTTTTTATATTTACATATAATTATGTATATATAAAACCCAGACAATACGTTGACTCATGTTTATAATCCTAGCAGTCAACAAGCTGAAACATGAGATCACTGAGAGTCCCAGGCCAGCCTGGGTACAGAGCAAGACCCCATCTCAAAAATCTAGAGGAAAGGGAGAGAAGGATGGAGGAAAAAGAAGGTAAAGAAAACAAGTCGGGGGGAGACATTTTCTCCATGTTCAAAAAAATGAGTATGTCTGCACAAACATTAGACATTTAGGCTCTAGAAATAAAATCCATAAAAGTTAGATGTGAGTCTTCTCACCTCTTGTCCTGGACAACACCATGTCCTTGATGATCTGCATGATAACACGACCAAGTATCATGACAGAAATGAGATGATAAACTCTCCATGGAGTCAACGCCAGGAACCTATGACCAAAAGAAACAGACCAATCACCATTTTAATGTGAAGGTTTTTATTTTTTTTTTTAAATATAAGTTGGCTTTCTCTCATGGAAACAAAAACTACACTCAATAATAATTTTTCTTTTCGAAAACCAACCCAGTGAAAATTGTTGCACTAAAGTCAGGAAAATCAACACCCCCAGGCCATGAGTAGTCAGCACTAGGCTTTCTGCTCTAGCCTCTAATGCTCACAGAGGCTTCTCTCTCTTGGGTCTGACTCAAATGCAACTATGGCTGCTGCAGGTGGAGATGGCAGTGGCTGGAAGCTGTGTTTTGACTGACTAAAGAGCCAGAGCTACAGGGCGCTTTACCAACATGGAGCAGGTACATGAGATGCCCTGTCTCTTAAAACTGGCGTTAAGAGGGAATGGCAAGATGGTTCAGCAGGTAGAAGTACTTGGTGCCAAGCTTGATGATCTGAGTTGGAGCTGTGGGATGCCCATGGGGAAAGGAACGCGCCAACCCCCACACATTGCCTGACCTCTGCATGTGCACTCTGGCATGCCCCACCCCCACATTAAATAAATGTAATTGTTGGGTGCTATGTGTGATGACCCTAGTTTGGATCCCCAGCAGCCACATAAAAGCCAAGCAGCTATGGTAGCTGCCATGTTCCCAGGTGTCTGCTGACAGTACCAGGGAGTCCTTGGTATAAGCTGGTAAGATAGACTAGCCAGAATCGCAAACTCTGCTTTCAGAAACAAACTCTGCCTTGATAAATACAGTAGGGAACAATTAAGGAAGACACTGAACATCATCTTGGGCTTATACACACACACACACACACACACAGAGAGAGAGAGAGAGGGGGGGTACACAAGGGAACACACATGCACACATTCATACACACATGCAAAATGGTATTAAGATCCAATTTGTGGGCTGGAGAGATTGCTGAGTGGTTAAGAGCACCAGCTGTTCTTCCAAAGGACCAGGGCTAAATTCCCAGTACCAGCATGGCAACTCACAACCGTCTGTAACTCTAGTTCCAGGGGATCTGACTGTCAACCTCACCCAGACATACATGCCGGTAAAATACCAATGCACATAAAATAATAATAAATAATGAAAATGTCATAGTTCTTTAAAAAAAAGATACCATTTGTTAGCGCTTCCTCTCTTAAGATCACCCTCTAGTCTACCTGCCCATCTCCTCTCTGGAGAAAAACAAACTCAAATTCCCTTCCCATAAAGAACATATAATAATACCTGCAAGACTCCTTTTGGATAGGCCCACAAGGGAAAGGACTAGCCAAGAAGTCAGAAGGAGCTTTGAGTTGTCAATGAGACTAGAGAATGAGGCCTCTATCACACGTTAGTTGGCCAAGCTGGTAACTGAAATTAACTTGGATGTACTCAGAGATCACTAGAAAAGTGACTTTAACAAAGTTGGCAGAGTTATTGACCCAGTCACAGGAAAGCCCTGTGCAGGAACAACCAACCTAAATAGTCCACTCAGTTCAGAAACCACTCACCTAAGCAAACTCTGGAAGGGCTCAAGGTTTCCTCAACCTAGGGAAGAAGCCAACGGGATTTCTGTCTATATGTTTGTCCTGTGCCCTCCACTACTAACTGTCCAGTCTCTCTTGTGATATTAAATGTAGTAAATGAAACAAACAAACAAGCAAACATATAAAGGCAAGGCTGTAAAAAGCAGAAAAGGTGCTGGGTGTGGTGGTACATGCCTTTAATGCCAAAACTGTCAATTTGAGGCCAGCCTAGTCTACGTAATGAATTCTAAGACAGCTAGGACAAAAAGAGACAGACCTGTTTCACAAAACCAAGGCAGGGAGGGAGTGGGAGGGTGGAGGAAGGGGAAGAGGAGAGTGATTATGTGTACTGTATACTGCTTTCCGTGAACTTTATTACCAGACAAACACACTCAAAGCTAACAAAGGCCAAGGCCTTAATGAGAAACCAGAATGAGAACAAAGAGCAAAAAGCAGTGAAGCAGCAGCCCTAGACTGAACAAGGAGACAGTGTGGTGAACACCAACAGTCATCACTGCTTCCTGACCTTGAACCAAATGTGACCAGTCTACATGGGACTGAATTCTGGTCACCAGGCTTTTGTGGTGAGCAATTTTACCAACTGAACCATTTTGCTGCTTGCCTTCCCTCCATCCTTTGCTTTAATCGTCGGTGTCATTACATACCTTGTCAATGTTCATATTTGTGAACCCACTTTTGCAGATTCATGGAAAGAAAAAAACAGAGATGGACAGACAGAAAATCCAACAAGGTCAGATACTGAAAGTGGCACACACCAGGAAATAACCCTCCGCTGGTGTTCACACAAGCACCTCTAATAAAATTCAGTGTGCAAAAATTAAAAACATGAAAGTAGAGGTGGGAGCTGGGAGAAAGGGTAGGCAAGAGTCTGAGGGGGGGAGAAAGAGTAATGCGGGTCAAATATGATCACAACAATGCACATATGAACAAAATTGTAAAAAAAAAAACACAAACTTAATTAAATTGAAAGCAAAGAAAAATGAGGATGTTTAAATTTGTAACTTTGTAAAATAAAAAAAATTGTTTATTGTTTGACAGTTTCATGATTGTATATAGAGATTCTTAGCTGTTTCTACCCCAATTATCAGCTTCCATCCCCCCATCCTCTTCTAAGAAAAGCATTATTTTAATCCCAACAAGTCCCCAGCCTACTTTCAAGTCTGTGTGTGTGTGTGTGTGTGTGTGTATGTGTGTGTATGTGTGTGTATGTGTGTGTGTGTGTGTGTGTGAGTGTGTGTGCGCATTCGATTAAGCTTGCTTGCATGAGTTTGACTGAGAAGTTATTTACCGGATCATGGCTGCCTTTTGGTGGCCAGACTACTGAAAAAATGACCCCTAACAACCACTGCCAACAGGGAGGGATAGCACCTCTTGACACCCTCTCCCACCTATGACAAAATGTTGACAGGTCCAAGCTTGTATAGATGTTGTGTAAATAATCACAGCTGTCATGAACACAATGACTATGTCATATCCAGATATTATCATCTTAGGGTCCACTGAAATCAAATTTACAATTAAAAGAAGATGAACCAAGTCAGTTTGCTTTTAAATTCGTGTGTACAGGCTGTGTGAAATAGAATGAATATGACATTTTCACACATGTAGATAATAATACTTTGTATCCCTCTCCCAGCTTCCCCCACTCCTATCCTTCCTGCCCCTTCCACTGATCTCCTTCCTATTCTTTAATAGTGCCCCTTCCACCTTCATTTCTGTGTCCTTTCCTCCTTTCCTCTTCTTCTTAGATGTAGCATGTAAGGGAAGACATACAATTGGTTAGCTTTCTGGGTCTGGGTTATTTTGTTTAACAGGATAATAATCTCTCCATTTACACCAACTTCCCCGAAAACTCCATTGTTTTGTTCTTAACAGGTGTGTGTGTGTGTGTGTGTGTGTGTGTGTGTGTGTGTGTGTGTGTGCGTGTGTGTGTGTGTGTGTGTATGGGCATGTGTTGTGACATTTTCTTTAATCGTTTATCCAAAACGCACTTAGAACAATATTATAACCTTACTACTGTAAACAATCCTATGATGAATATGGCTGTGCAGCATGTCTATGATATGCTGTCTGATTCCTTCAGATAAATATTCATGAATAATATAAATGATTTTGTGTTGAAGCAAATAATTTTCAATTAATCCTTGCATGAAAATGGACATAAAAACAGCAGTCCCCATCACCTGTGCATGCATGACCCTGCTGCCAGGACTGTGCCAAACCCTCTGAAAAATGTGGTCACTGTCATAGCACAACTAAGGTAAAAGGAACCTTCTTCATTACAATGGACCCTGAATACCTTCAGGTGCAATCATCTATCTCTATTTAATCATCTCACCTAATAGGACCAACATCCTGTATCATCCAACTTCCTGCAGTAGGAAATCATTACTGTTTTCATGCTGCTGAGCATGTGCCAGGTCCTGGGCTAGCAGCTGACACTATATCGAATCCTGGGTCCACCCAACAAATACGAGAAAGCACAGAGGTAAATCACCATGCTGTACCAAAGTACAACTCAAGCTGCTGTAGGAGCAGAGGAGAGCCCCTAGCTGCATAAGAAATAGAAAGGTCTAGGGCAAAAAATGACTTTAAAATTGTGTCTTCCGAAAGAAGTCAGCTTTAGCCAGGTGAGAAGGAGAGGCATGTTCCAGGTTGAGGAGCACCATGTACATGAGAGTATGTGAAACCTGAGAATTAGGAGGTGTGCCCTAAGCCTTTGACCCTTCCATCTGCCAGTGCAGGGTGTTTTCCGGATGAATGAAATAGCTGACGTGCAATGGGCAGAGCTCTGTCCCCAGAGTTTCACAGTCACTTGCTTCATCCTTACAAGCAACTGTGAGTGAGGAAGGTATGATCATTGTCCCCATTACACAGATGAGCAAAGAGAGGTCAGGAACTTGCCTAAAGGCTCCAGGGCGAGGTGGGATGGCATTGAGATGTGAACCCAGGCTGCCTGGTTCTAGGTCAGCCTTATCATCATGCCACTTCATGTGGAAAGGACTAGAAGCGCTGTCACCAGTTTACAAATAATCTTTAAGAACAGTTTGGGGTTTATAAAAGACTTCAGCAGAGAATACTGAGAGCTCCCATACACTCCCTCTCCCCTGATTACCATCTCACCCATCATAGACATCTTGCATTTTGGATGTGGCCCATTTGTTACAGAGGGCAAACCATTTTCAGTGTGTGACTGCTAACTGAAGTCGCTAATGCTCTGCTCTTTGTGGTTCACATGCTTTGGGTTTTGACAAATGCATGCTGTATTCTCCACCACAGGATGATGCGGAACAACTTCACTATCCTAAAAATCCCCTCTGTATCCTTCCCTCTCTCAAGACCCGGAAAACTGCTCTTATTCTTGCCTCCATTGTTTTGCCTTTCCCAGAACATCATACACAGTTACATGGACTCACTTAATGAGTAGCTTTTCCATTTTGCTTCTTTCATGCA